ATGTGTATCAATTCTTGATTTAAAACCAGAGTGTTTTAATTATTCAAACTTTATCATATATTTTAATATATAATGTATTTACTATTTCTTTTATTTATTTTTCTAGAAATATCTAAAATTTAACAAAAAGCTACGTGTATAACGAGAACTGTAATGTATTCTGCTGTTGTGTATTTAAAAAATAAATAAAATCAATTAAAAAAAAGAAAAAGTTTTGAATCATTCTCCAGAATTCCAAAGCAATATTTTGATGCTTACCTGAATTATAAACAAAATAATCCACAGATTATTATAATTCAAATAAAATAATACATAATTCAAATAAAATATCATATTCAATATATACTAAGCATATACTAAATTAGTTCTAAGATGAATCAACAGTCAATGACCCTACATAACAATACTGTTCATTTCAAAAGGCCAGCAGAAAGGATTCTGAAAGCTTTCATCATACTGAAATGATAAGTGCTTGAGGAGATAGTTTTTTTTTTTCCACCTGGTTTAAGCATTATCCTGTGTACAGGGTAAAACAAGTTTGTAATTTCATTCTTTTGAATATGTATTCCCAATTTTCCCAGTACCATTTATTGAAGAAGATTTACAAATGTCCAGTAGTACCTGACTATTGAATGATTTGTAAATATATATATGTATATATATATATATATATATATATATATATATATCACATAAGTACATTAGTACGTATTACATAGGTGTGGATATAAATTTTTCATGTCAATGTATAATTTGGTTTAAATATATCTACAAATTAAACAAATTCAGTTTTAAAATTTCAACTGGCTTATATTCAGCATTTCTGAATCAGGCAGCCTTCAGAATCAGAATCAATTCCAAGAACTCTTGGGCTGTAATGTGGCCAAGCATTTTTGGACAGAAAACAAAACAAATATGTAAAGACAGGCTAATTAGTTACAATTTACTGCTTTGTTTCATTTTATTCAGCTGGACAACTGTAACTGAAGCTCTGCTGCTGAAATTGACTAAGAATCAGCTGCTGGTTACAAGGACATACTCCTAAAGTAGGCTTTCATTTGGTTTACATACTAGATTAGGTTGAAGTTCATTACATAAGGACTCAGAGGCAGAGGTATCCTCAGACATAAATTTAATTTAACTCAAGTATATTATGTGTATAAATATGCACAAGTATACACAATATATGTAAAAAATATGTATATGTGCATCACATGTGTATATTTATTATATTTATGCATACATTTTACATGTGTGTATAAATATTTTGAGATGAATAAATGTAAACAGGTGACAATCACTTAATTCATTAATTGGCTAAAAATGCATGTGAGTTTTAGCTGCATTGCTAAATCTTTTTTTTTTTTTTTTTTTTTTGAAATTTTTCAAAATAAATATGGGGGTAACTGTAAATGAGTGGCATCATTCTTGAATATCTGCCCACTTAAACGCTTAGATTCTTAAACACTTCGCTGTCATTGATTTGTACTTCATGGTATTTCTTTTATGATTTAATGGTTTAGACTATAGATTCTGAATTCAGATAGCCTGTATTAGATTTCTGTACTTTGCCATTGCATTTCTGTGGACAAATTGAGATCTCTCTTAATTTTTTATTGTGGGGTTATTGAAACTGAAAAATAGTAATGAGAGTAAAAGACTTAAAAGATGTGTTGAATGATGAAATAGATACCACTAAAAAGTATTTGTAAGCTAAAAGTGTATGAGGATTAACTTAGATATAAAGGGACATTATAAGAAAGAGACATGAATTAGCAATTAACATTTAATCATTTGCAAATAAAACACCTTTCCCAAAACAAGCCTGCATACTAGTATCTATTGTATTATATAACCAGAAGGGATGGCTTAGGCCAGATATTTTTATGTCTGTTTATCTGTGAATACTTCAGCTGTTGCTTTATTTCAGTGTTGAGCACATGCCTAGGCTGATTGTTTTTTGGAGATAAAATGGAAAGAGACTCTGACAGTTTTCACATCCATACACCTTGATATTCAGAGAGACCAAGATGATATTTTTTTGTATGGATCTCTTTTAGAATAAAGCAAACTTATTCCCCAGACACTGACCCTAAATAAGTCACAACTCTTCCATCAACAGATGTCTGGGATTAGTGTTTATAAGGTTTAGGAGTTGTTGATAAAGAAATATATAACAAAAATCATGGTATTACTGGAAAAGGGAAAGAAATCAAGGCAACTGAATATATCCATTAAAATAGTGTGTACTCTATTCAATTCAGAGCTTCTCAAACATTCTGGTCTCTGCATGTTTTCACTAAAAATGTATTTAAGTCTCTAAAAATAGTAGATTGTATCTATTAGTATTTAACATATTAGATATTGGATTTTTGTCTTACTATCCCCACACAATTCACATATTTTCATGTACAGACGTCTGGTATTCAAGGTTGCTATGTTTTAAGGCTGGGTAATAAAGAAATACTCAGCAAAAATCATGGTATTACTAGGAAAGGGAAATAAAGAAATGGATGTAATTCTGACAACTCAAAATGTCCATTAAAACAGAGTGTATAATCAGGTATGGTCATGCACAAGAGGCAGCAGGATCATAATTCAAAGCCGGCCTTAGCAACTTAGGGAAGCCTTAAGAAACTTAGTGAAACCCTGTCTCAAGATAAAAAATAAAAAGGGCTGGGCATGTGGCTCAGTGGTTCAATCTCTGGTACAAAATAAAACAAAACACTGCAGTGTGTGTATTTATAGATGCACATAGCATAATTTTGTCAAATTCATTATGCAAATAGTGGCCAAATTATGTTATGTACATATGTAAATATAACACAGTGCATTTCACCTGTATGTTTATCTATAAAGCACTAATCATAAATAAAGAAATGAGTGAAATGAAGACCAGTAGAGCAGAGGAAGGAGGAGGGAGGGAAAATTGTGGCCACCAGGTACTGAATAAAATAAATTAAATTTCATTTATGTATTTTTGTAGAAATAGACTCAACAATTATGTAGAACTACAATTCACTAACAAGGGGTAAAATAGAGTGTGTACAACATGCATAGAATTTTCAAATGTTTTGGCCCCTGGAGGTTTTTTTTTTTTTTAATAGTCTGAAAAATCTATTTAAGACCCTTAAAAGCCATTGTTGTAGGTTGTATTTATCTGTATTAACCCGATTAGAAATTAAACCTGAAAGAAATGAAAGAAAGTTACTAACATTCAAACATAAAATAATTGTACACTAAGTAACAAAATTACAATAAGAACTTCAAAGGAAATACTTACTGAATGACCAAATACACCAGGGACTGTTTGAGAACTAGTAATATAAAATCAGATGTGATTTGGTGGGTGCAGAGAAGAAGATGTTATTTCATTTATTTTCCCACAGTAGCAATATACAATATGATTTTTTCTTTAAATTCTGTTTATATGTGTGTACCCCTACCCTTTCTGAGCCTATTCTCATTCCCATATTCTCACCTAGCAAGTGAATTACTGAAACTAGGCTCATTCCAGTCTCTTTCCAATCAATTGCCAAACTAATTTTTTGAAAGATAGAATCATATTGCTTTGCTGCTAGGAAGATGATAAAGTCTTAGCCTCAGAACCAACTCAGATTCTTTAGGGTGGCATTTAATTTTCTCTGGAATCTGATCCACTTCTACCCTTACTTTCCCACACTCATTCTCTCCTACTTTTGCCACTTTGTTGAATCTATCCCATGGTTCACCTGCATTTCCCATTCCCAGTGACACATTCACTTTTATACACAATGACTTTGGTCATGATAATTTATGTTTTGCTCTAACTGTCAAAATAGTTTTCATCTTTAAATGAACAGTTTACTTCTGTTGTTACTTATATCTAAATACCACAGGTAATACAACCTCCATTTCCTAAAACCCAAGCATGTGGAGAAAAGGCAGTATTGATTCACACTCCAGTTCCCTCCGACTTAACTGAATGTGAGGTTGGGCAAGTTACATAAATGAAATTTAATTTACTTTATTCAGTACCTGGTGGTCCCAATGAGGTTCTCATTTTTAAAAAAGCATAAAAAGAATGCCTAATTAGTTCATATATAATATACGTGAAATATCTAGATTAGGTTCTAGTAGACAGCACAATTTAATAAATCATTTTTTGAACTTTTACATTTAATTGAATAACAAATATTTTGTTTAAAGCATTAGGATTTTTGTTATTTTTCTGCCTATAATACTTGAACAACATCTTCATCTTTTGTTAATACTATGAACAGATCAATATTTTTCATTGGAATCAGTCCATGTTTTGGTACTCCTAATGAAAAACAAAACAAGTAATAATATCAGGAAGAAAAGTCCTAATTTAATTAAAACTCAATTTAATTAAGACTAATTACATTGCCATCTATAGTGGAAAATAAACAAACTACAAGAAAAATTAAAATATATAGATTTCATTATGAATAGCATCATTTAAAGCCACAGGTTGATTGACCATAATATACAGATAGTATTTACTGTAAAAATGACTAACAATATGAAACTATTCTTCATGAGAAAATACTCTGCATAAATAATCTAAGGAAAGGACCAAATTCAAGTTGAAAATCAAATTCAAACAGTTTACTTCCCACAGATGGAGTTGCTTCTGGAATGATTAATATTTGTGAACTAAAAATAAGCCTGAAATTGCAAGATTATATTTTGGGACTTGAGAAATTTAAATATTAAGTGGGGACTACTTTTATGCATACTGACTTTTGTCCCAGCATTTTTGAATTTGTTTTTGAAAATTGTGACAACTTACACTTTGGCATTAATGGATAATTATTCAGTTCACTCCTAATGAATCTCACTGCCTTAGATTTTGAAGTATGTTTTAGCACAATTTGTCATCTACAAACGTATTTGATAAAAATACAATCATGTTTAAATAATTTACTATTTTGATTACAAAGTGCCCATTTCCACTTTCTCAGTATTTGTAGGTTTTCAAATACATTAAGTTGAAATCAATTTTCCATGGGAAATTGTTGTTTTACAATATTACAAAATTGTCTTTTCTTCATAATTCTTTTCATAACATTTATTACTTCCTTATTTCTTAGACTATAAATGAAAGGATTTAATAAAGGAATAACTAGAGTATAAAAAATTGCAACAGGTATATCTTTATCCCCTTCATTAAGTGAATTTGGTCGAGTATACATGAAAAGAAGAGAACCATAGAATATGGAAACAGAAAGAAAGTGGGATACACAAGTAGATAGAGCTTTGCCCCTTCCTTCTTTAGATTTCATTGTAAATATAGTGAAAAGGATATAGAAATAAGAGATTAGGACAATAGTAATTGTAAGTATCAGAACTGACCCTGCCAAGATAATTATCATCAATTTGTTGATATAAGGGTCAACACAGGAGAGTCTGTATATTGGAAGGACATCACAAAAGAAGTGATTGATTTGATGAGACCCACAGAAAGTTAACCTAAATAAAAGTCCTACATGAACAATGGGATGCAGGTTTCCAGCTATGTAGGCTCCTGTGGTCATCTGAATGCAGAGCTTCTTTGACATCACGGTGTGGTACTGCAGTGGTCTGCATATTGCCACATAGCGATCATAAGCCATTGCTGCCAGAAGAAAGCAGTCTGCAGTCTCAGCAAGACAGAGAAAATAAAACTGTGCCATGCATTCATAGAGGGAAATCCTTCTGTCCTCAGAAAAGAAGTTCTCTAGCATCTTGGGAGTGATGGCACAGGAACAGCAGGAATCCATGAGAGCCAGGTTGCCCAGGAAGATGTACATGGGTGTGTGGAGACGGCGCTCCATGTAAATCAAGGCCACCAACCCTAGATTCCCCACCATGGTGACCAAATAGATGCCAAAGAACACCACAAACAGAAGGGTCTTCATGTCTGGGTGGTCTGTAAACCCGATGAGAATAAATTCAGTTGTAAATGATTGGTTGTCCTCAGTCATGTCTATCTTTTTTGTTGAGATAGAAGTTAAGTAGATATAAGCTCCTAACAGAGAACATACAATGTTTCATTCAGTTTTTCTTTTAATGAGAGGAGTTCTTCAAGCATCCCCTCCTGTCTATGATTTACAGCTTTATTTACTTCTAAGAGTTCTTGTTGCCTTAAAATGTCTGTATCTCTGACCTCAAGCTATGACTCTAAACATTTATAAGAATGTTTTGATTAGTTCAGGGAGGATACTAAAAATGAAAATGTTTTATCTTCTCGCATTTCTGCAATGAAGCATAAAATTTAGGGTAGCAGTATTTGAACCATTGATCCCCCAAAATTTTGATGCTGTATATATATTTTTTAAATTTTTTTAGTTGTCAATGGACCTTTATTTTATTGATTTATATGCGGTGCTGAGAATTGAACCCATTGCCTCACACATATTGGGCAAGCACTGTATTACTGAGCCACAATCCCAGCCTAATGTTGTATATTTTTAAGTTCTCTAAAATAATTTTAAAATAGATTTTACTATCATATGTATTTTATGTGAGAAAACTATTTATATATGTTATCCAAGAGAAGTGAATGTTATTTAAAAGCATATTACAGATGTATTAACTTTATATATTACAAATTGCATAAAGATCACTAACAACCAAGGAAGGTGTTATTCATCTTATTGAAAATTATCTTAGAAAGGCTAAAGAAATAAATGTCCACAGAATATCAATTCTCATTCTTTTTCTGAGAATTTTACTCATTTTCATAAATGCTGTCTTTTTCCATTTAATTAATCTGATTGATTTTTGTTTAAATCTATGTCTTTCTTCCTATTCTGGAAGACATAGCTTATATACAAAGCTAATAATTTTAGCCAAATGTCCTAGTACAGTGTGAATTGTGGAACATATTTTCTACACCCAGGCCATCTTCAATTTTTCATGTATAATTTATGAACAATTTTCTTATTTTATTATAAGTATTTTGAAGTTAGGTGTTACATACTTCTCTGAAAGGGGTTATACAATACTATAGGGAGAAGGCAAAATTAATTCTAAACCTACCTCAAACCTATGACCAGTCGTGGGTGATCTTCATTTCAGTATCTTACTAATGATCTTCAGTGAACTTTTTGCCTCTGCATATTGAGATTGTTAACCCTGAAAAAGTGTCTACAAGGGAACTTTCAAAATCATAATAATAAGAAACTTTGATATCTTCCTTTTATCTAATTTGATTCTTCTCTACTGTTTCCCTTTCCTCAGAACATTATGTAAGATTCTTTAAAGTGTACCATGGTCAATTAAAAGTTAAATCAGAGCCACTTTCAAATTTCATTTTTAGCACTTATAAAAAGAAGAACCCTTTAAATCCTTGTTTCAAAAGCCCATTTCCTTATTACCTAGTGATTTATGGGATTATATTAACTGACAAACATAATTATAAATTCTGTATTAAAAAATTTGTGTTTATTTAGTCAAAACATAAAAATAAAGGTAGTAGAATTTGTTCACTCCAAGTATTTTATATAAACTGTATAATCAGTTAAAGAAAAAAGATAATGCCTGAATTCTTCAAATAAACTTTTAGATCTTACCTGTAGATCTTGAAATTATATCTTATAATCTGGAAGTCAGATGATTATAGTATTGCAACTCATCATAGTTTTGCTAAGAGCTAAAACAAAAAGAAAGGATTTTAATTTAGAAACGATGAAAAACGATAAATTAGGGAAGTAAATATTTGTTTTTGTTAATATTAATAATAAGACTAAGTTTTAATATTTCTCTTAATTTCATTTCAGTGAGAAGAGCTTTTTCAAAGTTCCTTATTTGCTTTATGGTGAATATTGCCAAATTTAGGAATAAAAATGTGTACATTCTTGCTAAAATATTTGGGATTAAGAGAATGAAAATCTCAGAGATTACCTATAGGTCAGTGTTAATAATATGTCTTTATACTGCCAAGTTAAAAGGTTTTCATCAAATTCTGAAGGGATTTTTCTTTACAGATATAAGTACTTTCTGTGGAGATATTAAGTCATAAAAGCATACAAACCACTTGAAATTAATTAAAGATGTCCTTTGAGATAATTAGGTTAAAGCAAATGACATGCACTAAAATGTCTGATGATTACCTTGCTGGTTTATATGTAACTGGCTTAGTTTATACAATTTATAAAATTCTCTTTAACATGTTAACCAGGAAATGTCTCAGCTGGAAGAAGTGGAATTAATGTCATTCATGAAAACAAATTAATTTGGAAAGAAAACTAGAAGATTGGCAATTTCAGTGAAGGTCAAAAACTTCTTCACTCTGGCTGGAATTAATCCCCATATTCTACAATGCATGTAGTAAAGATATTATTTTATTTTTTCCTATATGCAAATTACTGAGATTTTCACTTCTACTTCTTATTTTACAACCTACACTTTACTTTTCTTGTGCTGTGGTTTTAATTATCTTCATACTGCTAATCATACTTCATACTGCTAATCACACATACTGCTAATCTGTCAGTACATCTATAATTGGTGATTCCTTCCCCTTTCCTACAATTAGCACATTGACTTCATGAGGAAGGATTTCTTTTATATATCCAATTCTGTATTTCCAGATCTATGAATAGTGTTTGGCATTTTTTAATGCTTATTATTTGTTGAATAAATTTTAAAAAATTATATTTTCTTGCTCAAGTTCATAATAGAATTGCATTACTTTTCATACCAAATCCATTGTCCTTATTCCAGATACTCCACAATCTGTCTGCATCTTGTCTCTTGTTTGCTGGTGAAATCACTTCCCTGTTCCTTGAACACCTGCCTCAGTTAATATGATAGCAATGTTCCCTCACCTATAGTGACTTCTTTTTCCCTTTTCCATTGAGCTCTTCTTTGAGCTCAAACATGAATTCCTCCATGAGAACTTTTCTTGGTCTTTGTAATTAGTTTTTTTTCCTTTTATTCAGCTAAATGGTACTCACTGGACTTTATAGAAAAATTTCCACTTAATCATCTGTGACTTGAAATACATAGATCATAGTGGGCAGGAGACTACAACTTTTGTAAAGCACCTTTCAGTAAGTGCTGCTTCAATAATTGGAACATGAACAAAAATGTAAAAGAAATAAAATCAGCAAAAGCAGGTAGACAGATTTGAAGATGTTGATACTGTTTGGGTGAGAGAGAATTATATGGGTGTTATGTGAATGGAGAGATTTGGTACATTGGAGGAAAAGAGAGAGAGTTGACAGTTCTCTTGAAAGTTTGGTTTGAGGGGAGAGAGAAATGGAAGACTACTCTTAATTTCTGACTTGCCCAATTCATTAAAGGAAGCTACCATTCAATAAAGAAGACAAGGAAGGGATAATATTTAGGGGAATTTCAAGAGTTGTGTTTTGATCATGTTAAATTTGAGATGTCTTTGAGACATTTAAGTTATCGTGTAAGATAGGCAGTTGGGTGTATAAATTTGGAGATTTAGTGAGTTAATGTAGCCTGAAATCCACATTTGGGGGACCATCTTAGTATTAAGATATTAACAGTAATAAAAATAGAGTCACATAGATAAACATTAGAGAAAATTTATATCTTACATGTGAATTCTTGCACCCTAATAACAGACGTGGGTATAAGCAGAAGAGTCTTTCCCAATCATAGCGTATTATGTTTCAGTTTTTTTTTGGGGGGGGTGTTTATAAAGTATTTTTTTCCTTCCTAGGATATAAGTGTAGGAATTGGGACTCTTTTGTGTTTGCTGTGAGCTAGGGATTGACTTCTCTGAGTATGCATATTCTTGTGATTTTATTGATGTGCATATGCAAAGAGTAGACATGAGAACAAGTAAGGAAAGAATAAACAAGTTTCTGGAACTTCTGGCTAGTCCTGAATCAAATTTTAGTTCTCAATTCACAACATTCTAAAATAAAGTCTACTTTAATACTATGTAAAGAAATTAAACTATTGCATCAAAATAGACATGAAGACCAATGGAACATAATAGAAGACATAAAGACAAAATCCACATAGGTACAGTTATCTGATACTTGACAAAATTGTTAATGTGTCTTGGAGAACAAATAGTCTTTTTAACAAATTGTGCAGGGATACCTGGGTATTCAAATGTAGAAGAATGAAACTAGATCTCTATCTCAACCTGCACATAAATCGAATCAAAATGAACAAAGACCTAGGAATTAGACAAAACACTCTGCAACTGCTAGAAGAAAACATAGACTCGATGTTTCAATTTATTGATGTAGGTACCTATTTCCTTAAAAAGATGCTAAAAGCTCAAGAAATAAAACCAAGAATCATTAAGTGGGAAGAAATCAAATTACAAACTTCTGCACAGCAAAGGAAATTATAAACAACATGAAAAGACAGCCTAAAAATGGGATAGAATCTTTGCCAGTTACTTCTCTGATAGGGCATTAATATCCAGAGTATGTAAATAATACAAAAAAAAAACCCTAACATCAAATAAATGAACAAACCCCCAAATAACCCAATCAATAAATGGACAAAAAGCTAAATAGATATTTCTCAAAAGAAGAAATATAAGTGTCCAACACATATTTGAAAAAATGTTCTATATGCCTAACAAACAGGGAAATGAAAATCAAAATTTATACTGAGATTTCATATCATTCTGGTCAGAATGTCAATTACCAAGAATATAAATAATAACAAATGCTGTTGAGGATGTGGAGAAAGTTACACTCTTACATTGTGTTGGGGACTGCAGATTGGTATGACCACTTTGGAAAACAGTATGGAGATTCTTCAAAAAACTATGAATGGAATGGCTAGATGACCCAGCAATCCTACTCCTTGGAATTTATCCAAAAAAATCTAAAATCAGCATACTATTGTGATACAGCCACATCAATATTTAGCAGCACAACTCACAATAGCCAAAATATAGAACCAATTCAGGTGCTCATCAACAGATGGATGGATTAAGAAAATGTGCCATATGTATGTGTGTGTGTGTGTGTGTCATATG